ACCAGGTCTCGGTGATACCCGCCAGGTCCGCTCCCCCCTCTTGAATCAGTTCTTGAATGAGGGGGGCCTTATTTACCACGGACCTGGCGTTGCACAACATCAGCCGGTGGGCCCGAGCCGAAGGATCTAAGGTCCCTGGGGGTCGAGCCGAGCTCAGAGGATCGGAGCACCCACAGGCTTGTAGGCAGCGTGTGCGTGCATGTGTGAAAAAGAGACTTGGTATTTGTGAGAGACAGCAGGTAATCTTGTCTATTTTTTAACTCTGATCCTATTTGTTGGTAATACAGATCTTGGAAAATGTCCTGGTTTTTTCACCTGGTTTACATAGCAAAGCCTGAATTAATTAGAGCAACTGTGGACAACCAAATAGATGGCAGCTAGGAGACAGAATTTTATGTAACTATAGCAATTGTCTGGTTGTTTCAAGCCTAAAATATTGTGACTCTTTTCAATAAAGTTTTTTGTCTTATTATATATGTTATCTATCTCACTCTGCAAAGCAATTCTGGGTGGCTTACAATTAAAACCATAATTAATATGGTTTAATATTTAATATAAAATATTAAAAAATTGTGTACAGAGGTCAGCAAAAAGAAGATTGGTACAGTGGTGGAATCTTTTCTGTTAGTCCACCAGCCACCTCCAACATAGAGTCCCCCATCAGACTGCCAACCCAACCCACAGAATTAGGTTTTAAGGCTTTTCCAGAAGCAATAAAAGCCTCTTTGTGCTTGGATTTGCCCATTGTTAGTATGAAGGATCAGTATAAAACAACTTCAGCTTTAGCTTTGTGGTTGCTTCCCTCATAAACTTTGATAATTTTGGAGTAAAATATTAGTACATTTCAGAGAATTACCCTCAATTTATTTCATGAAATTTGGATAGTAGTTCTTCAAGTGACTAAGTTTAAATTTTAACTAAGTTTAACTAGGAAAATTTTGTCTTAATATTTTCATTTTCAAAGCCTTTTCTACTTCTACATTCAATGAGGTCTACATTTGTTCTTAGAAAAGTAGGCTATATGTGGGACTCATATGAACAAATCTAGAACTTCCCCAGGGGGGGACAAATGAGTGCCAAGGTCTTCACCTCTACAACCAATTTCATGGAAAATGCATTGGAAAGGCAGGAACATAACTATGCCACCCTCTTTAATAAGAGCAATATGCACAAGCAAAATTATTTCTATGTGCCTTATTTCCCATAGATATCACATTATTCCAGTCCATTTTACATCAGCATTGTGACTTGAGAATAATTTAAATGTAGGAGGATTATTCTGTTCTATGGGAATAATGTGATTTCTCTCTGCTGGGATTCGTCATCTCAGTAGGAGAACTTTAGAGCACTAGACTTATACTGGTTACCACTGGCATATCACTATTTTGCTATACATTGTAAGGCAGTTTAATCCATCAAAAGGGATTCCAGACTTTTCCCTTACTCTGTACTGAGAATGGGGGCAACTATGCATGTATGTGTTTAAGAATGAGGAAGTCTCTCTATTTATTTGTAGTTGATGCAACCCATTGTCCTTGCTCTTGCAACCCTTCGCAAATATTTTGCAATCTTTGCAACATTTCACTGAAACTTTATAAATTACTTTCTAATGTTGAATCAAGCAATTTAGTTTAATATTTTGTACAGTTTACCTCTACAGAATTTCAGGCAGCAGGTTTTCCAATCTCTGCTGCCATAGTTGAATGTGGGAATTTTTACTTGAAAATATGTACTATGTTATTAGTTTTCCTATTTTGTTTTGTTCTGATTTTTCCCACTTCCTGTGTTTGTTTTGATGAGTTACACATGTCCATTTCTAGTTTTGGTTAAGACAGTGATGGAAAATGTGTCATGATGCTACAGTTCTTGTTCCAGTCTTTTGTTCTTTGACTGCAATGTTGCTCATAAGCACATCAGGTTCCTGTCATGCATTTCATCATTTGTCAACCGTGTACCTTTTTCCTGAAAACAGTGATGGACTTAAGTGTATTACTCAAAATTCAAAAATGGTGCTCAACTTGAAAGACATTGTATAACTAATTTAGAATAAATGTTAATATTGGTTTATGATATAGTATTGTATGGCTACAAAGGCATGTTAACTAGAG